CCTGTTGGGTGGCAGGAAGAGCCGGAACCTCTCCTCCTAGAGAAGGGCGGTGGGGGCTGGGTTCGTGAGGTCCGAGCCTACAGAGCTGGGGGAGGGGCCGCGGAAGGTGCCCCAGGCCGCGGTGACCCCTCCAGGTCTGCTGCCCCCTGCTGATCCCGGGAGCAGGGTCACCGTCTCTGCAGAAGTTAAGAACCGCTGTTTTGGATGGAACTCAGATGCCCGGAGTGGAAACTCCGCTCCCACTGCCTCCCCTGCAGGAATAACCCATCGGGACCCAACCGGGAAAGGGGCTGTGGCGTGCACCGTGAGCCCTCTTCTTGTCGCTCGCTCTCCTGAGCATTGTGGGTGGCCATCGTCGGGCTGGCTGTGGTCCTGCCCACCAGACTGCTCATCCCTGGAGGGCCCGCCCGCCGGCCCGCACCTGGCCAAGAGTCAGCTCCGTGGAAGCAGGGGAGTCTGCCCTCCCTCTCTGGTCCACGGTCCACCGTGGTCCTGACCCAGCCGGTCCATGACCGAAACCGTTCTTGCCCCTCCCCTCTTCCAGGCCTCAGGCCCCACTCAGACACCAGGATCTCATGCTGATATTTCAAATAGGGGTTACATACAAGGAGCTGTCAACAAAAGGCGCACGCAAGTGGGCAGAGCTGTCCCTGCTGTCTAGAAAGCCAGAGTACCTGTGCTTGTCCTGGCTGGGGATGTCAGGCTTCCCTGGATTGAGAAGATACTCCCTACATACTCGCCTCAGTGCAGAGTGGGGCCAAGAGTGCTCAAGGTGAGCCGATGGGCATCCAGCCAGCTCCTTGCCACACCCAACCCTATCCTTGCCCCTTGGTCATGTCTTGTCTCTTGAGTCTCTCTAGCCATGATGTGAAGTTTGTGCTGACAGAAGAAGGCATGGGCAAACAGTGCCCCACAGAGCGGAGGAGCCCAGCGGCCCTTCACAAGTAGCAGGCACTCTCAAAGGCCTGGATCCTCTAGAGACGGGAGCCCTACCATACTGATGCCTGTGAAAACAGCATGGAAGCCCTTCGAGTGAGCAGCCGGAGGTCTGGAAGAAAGCAGTTAGGCCTGAACTTGAACCTTCTGTGTTCCTTCAGGTTGTCTGAGAAGTCAAGATGGGTCAACTCTTAGGAGGAGATAGGGTGAGCCCTGCCTGAGCCAGGGACCTTGGGAGTGAGTTGGACCACCATCAGCCCAGAAGAGGTTGGGACCCCATCATTCCTGGGTACTGTGGTGCTCCTCAGAGAAGAGCAAGAACTGGAAGGAGCTATGTGAGGTTCCAGAGGACCTGGGAGATAGGTGGTCAAGTAGGACTGGCCAGACTGGAACAGTAGGCAGCATGGTGGGCAGTATGAGTCCCTTACCCTCCCGTAGACTACACTACATTAGAAATAGACCTGGAAAGGCAGCCTGGTGGGCTGAAGACTGAACCAGAGCTGGTGGTCTCCTAGAGCATACTGGTATGCCAGGAGGCAAGGTGCGCTGCGCACATGCCAACCGTAGGCTGCAAGAGCCAGGTATCCTTTACACTCTCTGTCTTCACAGTTCTGGTCTGAAACAGCTCCCCCTGCACGGTTCCCAAGTTGGAGGATAGCTGTCCCGAAGCTGTACTCACTACTCCAGAAAAACCACCTAGGTTTCTCAGGGCTACATGCCACCAGTGGCTCGACCCTTCATGGGATCCTAATTGGCTGCCGTTGCTCACCCTTCTCATGTTAAGAGATGTCCATACCGCTATGGCCCTGTTTACTCTCTGCCATGCAGACCGTGGCCAGTACTCATCCCAGGGCCCTGTTGAAAGAACAGTGGCTGTATCGGGACCAGGAACCACTGGCCTCTTCCTAGACCTTTGTCCCTGGATAATCTAGCCGAATCTCCCTCACTGGTTCTACCTAGCCACTGGCACTTGAATCTAGGCTCCCACCAGGAAGCTCCCATATCATCTGCTGGCCCAGGTGATGGATCCAAAGCCCTAAGAGGGCAGGGGCTGCAGGGAAAGACGGCCCCTGGCCTTGCCTCAGAGCTGGGGGTGGGGAAGGGCTCTAGGGCCATCTCTTTCTGGGAGGTCTAAGCATGAGTCACCCCTTAAGGCCCAGGCACAAATGCAGGAAACTGCCATTCTATGGAACTATTTTCTCTCACAGAGGGAAAGCCCGTCACACGCAGGCATTGTTCATGACCAGCGCTTTCCGGGTGGGCTCCTGGAGAAACCAGCAGGCTAGGGCTCTGGGCTGAACTGCTTCCCTTTGAGACCCAGGGGCGCCTGGAGGTTAAGAATGTGGGGCCCCGGTCCAGCCACTAGTCTGAGGTGATAGGATCACGTCCACACGAGGGGTGCCCTGGGGTGTAGGGACTAGATCAGCCAGGTCATTTTGCTGCCTACACAGTGGAGGTCAGGAATGAAGGGGCAACGGGCTGGCCACTGCCCCCATACCATGTAGCTCGTACAGCAGCTGCCTGCTCCAGCAAGTCTTGCAGCCCCCAACCCTCTGTTTACTTTGGCTCTGAGTCTGTTTAGGCCCCCAAGGAAAGAGGTGACCCTATAATGGCTGCGGCTGGGGCTGGGCACATAGGTGAAGAGGGGCAGGGTAGGGTAGTGTCACCTGGGCCTCAGGTGCTCACCTGTGACTGCCTAAGACACAAGGCCTCAGGAAGTTGGGGACACTGGCGCCCCCTGTCAACACCCTTAGGGCAGTGCAGTATTGAAGTAGCCAGTGAGCCAGGTGGGCTGGTCCTTGCTCCGCCCCCACCACCTCTTCTCCTGCTGGACATGCTCTAGAGTGACTGGGCATCGCAGCAGGGTGAGAGGGCTTTTTTCACCTTTCTGAGCGCTACTCTCCAAGCTTCATTTGAAGCCCAGATCCTGGCCACCCATCTACAATATCCGTGCGATCCTTGCGTACCTAGGGACTCCTAAGCTGGCCAGGGAGAGCCTGGACCTGCCTCAGTTGCAGGACAAAGATGTCTGCAGCACAACAAGAGCTCATACTGGTTTCACTCACAGGCTCAGCCTAACAGGTAGCCTGCATTGCCATACTTCCTTGGACAGAGCCACAGAGTTGATGAGGGCAGGTGAGAACTGCCCACAGCCCGATAACATGCAGGGAGACCTGCAGCTCCTGGATCCCGAGTTGACAACACAGCTGTCTCCTGGAGACCCAGAGTCTACAGTGACCTGTGGGGAGATCAGCTCACAGGAACAGGCTGGAGGGAGCCCAGTCCTAGTGAAGAAGGCGGGAACGTGTCTGGTGAACTGGAGGGGCCTGCAAGGGACCCTGGGGCAGCAGCGTCTAGGGAGAGGTGGCTCTGAGGAGGAGTCACTGAGAGCTGGGTACCTGCCCAAGAGAGTCTCCTCTAGTCCACTAGGAGGGATAGGAGCAGCCAGGGTGCCCCATAGGTATGATGCAGCCTCACTGTAACCCTTGAGGGGATCGGAGGAGCCAGCTGAGGGGACACAAACAAAGGGCATGTTGCTCATGCCCCCGTGCGTCCGTCCGTCTATCTGTCTGCCACCTCTCTGGAGTCTCCCTGAGCTCTTCCCCCAGGCCATCTTGTCTCACTCACCTCTGACACAAAACTCACCCTACCACACACATGTCACATCCTCACAATGTTTCAGTGGAAGTAAAATGCACGAATAACAACATTTACCATCTTAACCCTTTAAAAATGATTTTTAATTGAAAAGGTTATAGGTGCCCCGGCAAAATCCGAAGCAGTGCCTTATTTTGTGTACAATAAAAGAACACAGCGGGGGTGCCCTCAGTAGCTCAGCCACTATTGATGGTCCCTACCTGGTGCCCGTCTGTTATCCTAGCACTTTAATTTGGAAGTCTGAGGCAGGAGGATTGCTGAAAGTTCAAGGTTAACTTTGAGACCTTTTTTTTTCTTAAAGTACACCCAATATTTACTGTTGTAACCTTTTTTTTTTTTCAGTTTGTTTTAAGACAGTGTCTCATGTAGCAGATGTAGACTTTGAACTTCTGAGTCTCCTGCCTCCACCTCTTCAATGCTGGGATTATAGGTTCCAGTGTAGCCACCTTCCTTCCTTCCTTCCTTCCTTCCTTCCTTCCTTCCTTCCTTTTTTTTTTTTTTTTTAATTGAGGCAGGGTTTCTCTGTGTAGCCCTGGTTGTCCTGGAACTCACTCTGTAGCCCAGGCTGTCCTCAAACTCACAGAGATTTGCCTGCCTCTGCCTCCCAAATCCTGGGATTAAAGATGTGTGCCATCACTCCTGGCCACTGTAACCACTTTTAAGTGTATATAGTTCAGTAGCATTAAACTCACCATCATTATGTACATTCCAGGACACTGTCATCTTCCCAAACTAAAGTCTTGTCCCCACTGTGTAACTCCCCAACCTCCTCTCCCCGGCACCCACTCCTTCTGCATCTACAAATCTGGCTACCCCAGGGACATCATATGTTCTTTTGACTGGCTTGTTTCATTCTGCCTCGGAGTTCATCATTTGTAGCACGCGCCACCATTTCCTTTTAAGGCTTAGCAACGCTCCGTTGCATGGCAGAGCACACATCTGTATATTCCTCCATCCATTCATGGTCATATTCTGATGCACAAAGATTTTATATTTTCTTTCCGACAGGGTTTCTCTGTGTAGCCCTGGCTGTCCTGGAACTCTCTCTGTAGACCAGGCTGGCCTTGAACTCTCAGAGATCCCCCTGCCTCTGCCTCCTGAGTGCTGAGATTAAAGATGTGCGCCCAGCTAGATTGTACATGTTCATGGTCCAATGTGACTGCTTTCCCTTTGGCTGTCACTGGAAAGTTGAATGTCATCAGTTTCTGCCCTCCTTCCCCGCTAGGAGTTTTGAACCTCGGTGCTTATGTCCAAGCCTCTGATTCATTTGAATTAATTTCATGTTTGGTGCCTGGCAAGGCTCCAACTTCATTCTTTTGCTGTAGACACCCATGTCCCCTGAGATGCCTCACAGTCAGAAGAGGAGGCCAAAGCCCAGTCTCCACCCCACAGCAAAACACCACAACCTGCTTTTGCTCGACTGGCCTCCTCCCAGCTGTTTGGGCCAGAAAACCTGGGCAATATCCTGATTCTACGTCCATCATCACTCTTAACTCCCCAGAAGCCTGCTGCAAGTCTCCAGAGCATCTGGCGCAGACTATGTATGCATGCCCAAGACATGCTCAGGATGACTGAGGCCACAGCTGGTAGTAAGGGACCTATTCCTCTTGAAATCTGTTCTGAGGGGCTGAAGAGATGGCTCAGTGGGCAAAGCACTTGCTACACTAGTGTGAGGACCTGAATTCAGATCCCAGCACCTGAACTAAACCAGGGTGCATTTCTGCAGTCTCAGCTCTTGGGGAGGGAGGCAGCATAAATGAGGTAGACAGTGGTAGAGAAAGACACCCAACAACTGTGAGGGACATCAGAATTCATACTTGAAGTGCGAATGACGGTGGCCGCAGGATGGTGGTGTCCCACACAGGACAACCATCCTAGAGTCGGTTCTCGCCTACTTTTATGTGGGCTCAGAGATTGAACTCAGGTCATCAGGCTTGCACCATCGAACAGTAAACACCTTTATCTGTTCTGAGTCCAGTGTGGTGGCTCATAACTGTAATCTCAGCACCTGAGAGGCTGCGGTCAGGAGTTCCAGGTGAGGTCGGGCTGCACGGTAAGACCCTCAGAAACACTGAGAAGTGGGGTGTGCGTTTGTGATCTGTTTTGGAAAAAAATTTAAATGCAGAAAAAGACAGACATGTAGAGCACTTCAGCAGCCTTATCCCCACCCAGCCGGGGCCAGCCCTGCTTTGCCTCTCTCTATCCTAGAAGTCACTTTGACATTGGCCTTTATCCCCAGCTCCTTGGCAACTCTATCCCAGCCGCCCCAAGCAAATACACAGGTGCTTGGAAGGTCTGGCTAACACAGTACCCAGGCCCTTGTCCAGCACAAGGGAGGCAGGCAGGAGTGAGGCCACCTCAGTGGGCAGAAGTAGCCCCTGGAGCTAATCAGACAGCAAAGCAACCTGACAGTGCTAGAGGAAGCTGATCCCAGCTAGGATTCTGTACCCGGTCACAGTCACTCTTCTATGTGTAATAAGCCCATTCCAACAAGGGGTGCTGGGTGTGGCTTCTGCTTGGAATGGGGGTGACATGGGGAGAGCTGAGGGTGACTATTTCTCCCAGATCTGTCTGCTCTGCCACAGCTGACACACAGGAAGACAGGGGCAGGGCCTCAGCTCTGTTAGGTTACCAGAAATGAGAGGCCTCTGTGTTCCAGGGTTACCTGGTCTCCCAGACTTGACATAGTCCTTCCAGCTACTCTGTCTCTTAGGATCCTCATATTATATGGTATCCTTAAGTTTCCAGACCTACAGGCCACCATCAACCCACTAGAAAAACACAGAGCAGAGCACTGGCAGAACCCGGCACCCACCTAGACATGTCCAGCTGATAGATATCGTCCAAGAACGTCTCCCATCCTTGAGCCAGCACTGGGCAGACCATCTGTGTCTGACAGCTCCCTGTAGGACCTGTCCTACTGTGTGCCTGGTTTGAGTTCACATGGGGCCTAAAGTGGCAAAGAGAATTTTGTAAGTGTGGCTGCTTGAAGACCCTGAGGTGAGAGTGGCCCTAGTTATCAGGGGCCCCAGATGTGATCATGTGTCCTGAGAAGTGGGGGACATGAGGGTCAGAGTTCAGAGAGCAGGGGCAGAAAGGGTCAGAGGGCAGAAGCCAACCATGTTCGTTTTGAAGGTAGGGATATACTATATATTAGAGTGTGGGCCTTTCTAGGATTGGAAGGGACAAGTCTGGAGACACCTGAACCCCAGCCAGGGGCATTGTGTTGAACCCCAGCATCCTGAAATGACCTTGTAGAAGCCTGTTTTGCTGAAAGCTAGCAGATGTAAGGACATCTACCGGCTTGTGATCTTGTATCTTGTGCTGTCTGCATTGTCTGGACACACTCAGTGGGATCTCTGGAACTCTGGGAAGTGGCTTGACAAACATAGAGACGGCCTCTCTAGTCTTGGGACACAGGTGGCATGGTGTCTTCCCATGTCCCCCCTATTGACAAATCCCTCTCCATCCAGGCTCCTGCGCTGCTCCCATGGAGACTATGACCCCCCATCTGTCAGTACCACTCTGGGTTCTGGCCAAAACCCCTTGGACAGACACGTTTCTTGCTCCTCCACACAGGTTGCCCTTTGCAGTGACCCAGGGACCTCAGAAACTCTAGCCACGTCAGTTTATATACTAACAGGAAAAGGCAATTGTCCCCACCAGGATGGAAAGAAGGCTCTGTGGAATTGTGGGGTCTACCTATTCCTGCTAAGCAGGCCCAGGTGGCCAGGGTGAGTACATCAGCCCCCAGCCAGTGACACTGGGCCCTCTAACCTCCACTTTTGCCTGAACTGCTGGTGATACCAGTGAGAGCTATGTGACCGATCCCTGTTGTCTACACACACCCTCGGGAGGAACAGTCTGCAAGGAGGAAGGCAACCGAGGAGTCTTTCTTTGGCTTGGGTGGGCTTCTAGAGGGGCTCCTGGGTGGTGGTCACTCTGACCTCCAGGATGCTGGCTAAAGCTGGGAAGTGCAGTGCTTTAAGAGGTGTGTGTGTGCGAGGGGGCTAGTCTTTGAGAATGGCTCCTGTCAGTCATGTGCCCCATATTGTGTGTGTCCCCCCCCCCCAGATCTAGAGTGGCCTGGGACTTTGGCTGACATTGTGATGGAGTTGGTCTGAAGCCCTGTCTGGCTGGGTTAATGTGTGCACTGTGGTGAGGAACAACATAGCCGCTGTGAAGAGAAACAGCCAGAGACAACAAGCCGCACTTTCTCTCCAACAGGCCAGGCCAGGTCAGCCTCTACCTGGGCTGGGGCTCTTTCTCTGGCCTTCCTTCCCCAGTCTTTTCTCTCCTGACTTTCTCTGAGAGAAGTTTTCCTCCTCTCCCCGTCTGTACACTCCAGTGACTGCCCTGGTTCCCCAGACTTGGGGAGTGGGTGGGGTGGTTACTAACCAGGGACAGGCAGGCAGGCTCACTTACCCGGTGCTCCCCTTGGATTACCGTAGGAGGCTTCACGCACTCCTCCTCCACCCAACCCAGTTCTCGCCCCCTTTGCACCCTTGGCTCGGAGGCCAGCCTGACAGCGCCTCCCTTGCGCGATTGGACTCTGCAGGTGCTACCTGGGTTCTGCGGCCCGCCCTCCGGCCCGCCCTCCGCACGAACTGGGCATGCCCAGAAGTTGCGTAGACGTGCCCGACAGCTCCGGTCTGCGGAAGACTCTCCCCCTGCGCCACCCATGGAGCGCATCGAGGGGGTGACCGTGGGCCTCTGTTCCCGCTCGCCCTACCTGCGGCCTCTCACGC